CTTCCATTTTCGCCTAAAATCAACTCTTGAAAAGATACATAATTAAATAGGAAGAAAAATATGACATTTTTCGAATTTTTTTAACATATTGTGCCGTCAAAAGTTAAGCCCACTTTTTTTTTATGCGCATAGAAAAATTTTCATTTCTAGTGATATTTGAAAGCCAAAAAGCCAAAAATCTCCGTGGATATACGATTCACCCAAACCAAAACAGATACCGCCTGGTCTATACATAAGAGTGGAAAGTATATGTAGCGTACATCCTATGTTTCACTTTTCATGAATCCACCCTTTAAATATCTCATTTTGCAATGAAAACTTTTTCAAGCTTCAGTACAAAATAATTTCAGTCATAAGCGTTCGGTTTTAAAATAAAAAATGGTGGAGTTTTATCAAACAAATTAAAGGTCTTCTTTACTTAAAAATTATAACGATATTCTAATTTAGCGTCACCAGAAATATTTCGGTATCAACTTATAATAATAATAAGATATTTTTAAAAGTGCTCAAGATGTTTTCTACATTTGCGTAACCGTTAACTTAAGTCAAAGAGAATAATTAGTTTATTCTCTTTGCTTAAGTTATTTAAGCTTTTCCTTTGACTTTTTCTTTTTGTTATAAGACTATTCGGTTCTCGAGCAAATTGTTTGTATGCAGTTGGTAATAAAAATTTAGTGTAAGAATCTGTCCTGGACTCAGAGGAATAAGTAAACATCTTCCTCTGAGGTCCTGGATTACTCCAGGAACAAAGCTATTTATATTAACTATAATCAAAGATTATGGAAAGGAAAGATCGGAAGACCCCAACTACTGCGTTGGTAGCGCCATCTGTAGTTACGGATCTATTCGCACGTTTCTGCTGATAAAAATAAGAAGCACTCTTCAGAAAATGGCTCACAGTTGTCAAATTCCGAGTTGTTAGTTTTTATTGTTTTTCCTATTTATTATTTCCAAAATCTTTATTTTCGATTACTTGATAGTGTAAAATGATGTGCCACGGTTCTTATTGCATAGTTGACGACTCGCGCCGTTATTCCATGGCTAGAAATTGGCCTCAATAATTTGGGATCGAAGGAGATTATCCCTCTTTATACTGCCTCATCTCGTGTATGCCTGAACAACCTTCGTAGGTGGGCCCCATCCGTCCGTCGTCTACCCCGACCACAAATGCGGCCGGTGTAGGCGCTTTGTGGGACCTCCTTTTGTCCTGGCTGGGCCCCACCGGCTAGGGCCCTTTCTTCTGGCGCTCTTCTTGCTTCGCCGGCTCGTCTGTGTAAACCCCGGGGGTGGTGTGATGTTTATGTGTGGTATGGTTGGGTCGGGTAGTGCGGCTATGCAGCCTGGGATGCGCTTTGCTAAGGTGGCCCATAGGCTAGCGCGGGAGGGGAGGTGTAAGGAGGGTATGGGGGAGTGTGTATGTGTGTATGCGTGTGTGTGTCGTTGTCTTCGTTTCTTGATCCTGGCGGTCTCTGAAACATAAAAGATTAGCGGACAGAGATACAACTGAAGCAGCGACAAAAGACAACTTGGTCAGTGCGCATTTTTCACCCAAAAAATGTAGAAATATAAGTAAACTTTCCTGTCTTCAAATTTTGAAATCTGAATCCTGAAGTAAAAGTTTTAACCCTATTAATTTTACTGCATTTGTAAGTACTTAATTTTAGGAAGCTGACTGTTGCGCATGTGTCTTAGTATTAGTCCTTGAAAGTTAAATGAAAGGAATGGGAAATACAGGTCTTGAGTCCTTAACATTACGTCAGGATTTTTTAAAACTGCACATTTTCAACTTGCGTTAAAATAATTTTGGAATATTAAGTTTGAAAATAGGTACTTGAAGAATGATTTAGTTTTCTTTACTTTACCCAACGTTTTTAGTTTCATAGCTAGAATAAATAAAATCTTTCATACACTCAAATAATCGTGCAATCGGGCTTACTAATCGAATATGGAAAACTATGGAAGAATAGTATTCTTTGATTATTTATCGTTATTTTGTATGGTATTCAGCTCATTGATTTGTTATCGATGTGATTTTCTGAATGCAGTAATGGAGCCATACTCACTAACTTCACAGTTATGATGTTGCCGAACCTACTCTGTCTAGTATCCTTGGGTCGAACATGTACTACGTTAACCTAAAAAATGTGTAAACAAAACACAAACAAACTAACCTAAAACCGTACTTCATACACTTGTAAATATGGTAAATACCTACTGTTTATTAGGTGCTAAAATTATATATATTAGTTTTCTCTGTTTTTTAGGAATTTATTTCTACCAGTCAGTTACAAAAATATGAAGGTATTATTGAAAAAATCAAATGCGAATTTGAAAAGCATGAG